GTGGGGAGGAATTGCATTGGCTTGTCCACACCTGTGGGGAGGATTAGCTATTTGAACTACTTTTCAACCTACTTTTGGCTTCCAAAATGTTTGATCAGATCAATAAAACCAGCCATCATCACTGCCAAATAGATAAAAATATAAAAGTTGCTGGTGGCACATTGTTTTTTAAGCTATTTAGTTTTTTCAGCAGTGGAAATCTGGCTGAATCTGCTAGAAAATCGTCATGTGATCAGATCAGCATAACACATAGGGATAAGGTAGTTGGCTATAAATTGGTGTGCTGTGTGTCCATTACACCCATCAGCAAAATATATAGGTGTATTTATAGAATGTGTTTTGCAGGACTCTCCCTATATCTGAGGAAGCACGCCTTTGTTATAGATAAACTGTATTCTGCACCCATGCATCACTGTTTTAATTGTTACTCCTTCTTCCTATTTACTTCTTCTGGCATGATTTTTAAAATTTTAACTAAAAATTCTACTATTTTTAATGTCTACGGTCTTGAGCACTACCATGTGATAGGATAATACACTTGTTTTATAGGCTAAGTATAGCTGTTTTAGGGCTTGTTCACACGATGTCTTGATTCTGTCCGGACCAGAACCGTGCACTTCTGCACCCAAAATGCATCCCAATGTCTCCCTATGTGTGGAGAGCACAGTTCTCACCAGCACAGTCCATTCCGGACAAACAATACTGCATGTCACATTTTTGCGTCAAACGCAACGAAAACGCACCACACTGCAGCTAACATACTGACAGCCCCTCTCCACTTATTTAACTGGAACGCTGGAAAAACGTGTCAAACGCACTGCATGCATAGCACCACGTCTGCGGATCTGGACCAGAAAATGGTGTGAACAAGCCCTTAGTGTGTGTGGTCCTTTTTTATTGTGAGATCACCTGTTAATAAAATCTGCCATGTTTAAAGAACTCTGGGCATGTGCAAAATTAACCCTTGCAGTGGGCTACCCCCACGTTGAAAGGGTTAAGTGTTTGTTTTCATCTAGGGTCTACAATAAAAAAAGATATCCTCACCCAATCCTTGGTCCCATGGCAGTGACGGCTCGCATCTCACCCCCTCAAAAATTACTTAACCCTTGCAGTGTGTGGGTAGCCCCCACTGCATGGGCTCATTTTGAATATGTCCAGAGTTCTCTTTTAACCACTTACCAGGGGGCCTTAAAACGAAATAAACTAGCTAGGGTGTAAGGAGTAAACACTGCTCCTCTTCCCTCACCCTTCCCACCATCACCTCCTGAATGCTATTGCCAGCAAATCCTGGATAAAATTATACCAGCCAGCTTTAAGTATCATGAAATGCCATGTAACAAAAATGTTACATTGTATTTACATTTGGCTCATTCACGTGTAAATCAAAGGGATGATCTTCAATTTGCATATGAGGTAAATTAAAGCAACCTTACAAGTAAAAAACAAAAAAGCTTGTTCCTAATTCAAAAAAATCCCTGGTGCTGGCATCTCTGCATGCTGATAACAAAACATTTAACAGTAACATGTTAAAACATTTTTTCTGTAACCTACATTTACCGTAATCCCACTTCCTGCTTGATTGGGGCACTGGTGACGTGGCCAGGGCTTCACAGCTGCCCCCTTGGAAGGCTGTATCATGAGTGCCTTCCAAAGAACTCTCCTATGTATGAGATGTGTAGAAAAAAATGGCCTTTTTCCTGAGATGCCGCAGGATATGAGACCGTCCTGTATGCAGGGATTTCTCATTGCAAGCTGGCGGGAGGGAGATGCTGTATGCAGGGTAGCGGCGGGTGGTGGAACGCAGAGGGTTCTGGCTCCCGGTAATGCAACAGACCTATTGGAGAGGAGTTTTCTGTATAGTTCCGACCATTGTGGTACTTACGGGCTCGTTCACACCAAAATCGGAAAGTAATCGGAAGTCAGTCGAAGGTCTGTTGACTTGCAATTGTACCTTCTGATTTCCTTCCCATCAGTTGCGTTGCGATCCGTTTCTTCAACGGATGCTAATGCAAGGTCACCGAAAAGTGAATGGGGCTAGTTCACACCGCTGTGTTGCGTTGTACTGTTAAAAAAAAAAAAATAGTGCATGTTCTGCATGGAACCGAGCAGTGTGAACTGGTCCCATCCACACCCATTCATTTTTTTGGGTTACCATTCGTTGACATCCATTGGAAACCGGATGGCAGCAGATCTGGTGTGAATGGGGCCTATGAAGTGGTACAGGACATGGAGCAGGCAAGGTGACCACTGAACACTAATGACGGGGGCATGGTTTCTGGCACCAACAGAGGGGCACCATTCCTGCCAGTGACCCCATTCGGGGCCTCAAACTTTGTAATGTACAGCGAACGGGCTCTTCGCCTTAAATATTTAATGATCTTGGTTTTATATTGTTTCTCCAACTTTTTTTTAATATCACATTCATCAAAAGGGCTGTCTGATGATCAAATGGTGAGTTGTAGTTCGTATACATTGCTCATCTGTTTCAGTAATGCCTGTTTTTCTGAATCCCTCATTGTGTCTATGGGAAACCTTTAACCTGTGAGGGCCGCTGCCTGGAAGTGTGCATCCAATGTTGTGTCTACATAGACATTCCTTAGATAACTGGATTCTCAGCAGCCTAGAAAGCCGTGTATTCTTCATTTGCTGAAATCGTTTCCACATTACAAAATTGTTCCTTAATGTCCCTGGTGTTCTTTACCACATTGATCCTCTAATCTTAATGCAAGTCTACGAGACCATATCTACTGAGAAGAGGCCATAGTGCTTGCAGAGTCTGTGTGATTTGTTTTTTTTGCCTAGGCCTCAGGTCACATGAGGGACTTCAGGAGCGGGTTTTTTTTTTAATATTTATTTATCCATAGCAAGAAAGGTGTGTGTGTGTGTGTGTGTGTGTGTTTGTTTTTTTTCCTTTTTCGCTCATGTAAACCTTACCTTCTATTGTAGTCTAAGCTGCGCTGTTCAAATATCTTAATTTTCATAGGGGGGTTCTGTAAACGGTACAGAAGAATTTGGACATGGCGATTTGTTTACCACAGTTGGAAAGTCTCCACCCAACATCACAGACGGTGGTGGCGGCAGCAGCATCATCCCACCTGGACCCACAAGCGGGCTGGTGCCAGGTGAGCCAACACCATGAGGCTGGCATTGTTGCAATGTGTAGTTGTGTTTACTTTTCTACAGTAGTGTTTTTAATTTAAAAAAATAAAAATTATATATATATATATATCTATTCTCTCTATTATATACACAGGTGAAACTTGAATAATTAGAATATCGTGCAAAAGTAATTGCAGTAAGTGCTGCAAAAGGGGCCCAAACCAAGTACTGAGTACATATGCATGCTTGTACTTTTCAGAGGTCCGATATTGTTCTATGTACAATCCTTGTTTTATTGATTGCATGTAATATTCTCATTTTCTGAGATTGTGGATTTGGGGTTCTTGGGGTTTTCATGAGCTGTAAGCCATAATCATCACAATTATGACAAAGCACGGCTTGAATTATCTTGCTTTGCATGTAATGAGTCTTATCTCATATATTAGTTTCACCTTTTTAAGTTGCATTAGTGAAATAAATGAACTTTGCACAATAGTCTAATTATTAGAGTTTCACGTGTGTATGTATATACATACATACATACATACATACATACATACATACATACATACATACATATCTCTATCAAGGGAAAACATGATGCTAGTTACTCAACCAGTCAGGTGTTTTATTTGTAAGTGTGTGTGCCTTCCTCACAAGATATCCTCATTGCCTGTTCGTCTCTAGGATAGTTCATGGCGGGAATTTTTCTACCAGTAACCCAGATGGCAAGTAAAAGTAAAAAATGGACAGATTCAAAGCCATTTTTATGCTTTTTAAAGCACATCTCCAAC